GTGAAGCCCCTCTTTGAATCTCCAGCCATCTGGTGGGAAACTGTCAAGTGGAACATCAAGAGGTTCTTTATCCTCAAGGGTGTTCAGAAGATGAGAGAGAGAGACTAGAAGAACTGTACAAACTCCAGAAAAGCATGCAGAACCTACTCCTGCTCCAGACAATGGGTGTCAATGTTACGAAGATGTCCAGAAGGTGAAGAGCTAGAAAGCCTCATTCTTGCCTCAGAGGCCTCCAAGATGATCTTAGAGTCCAGGGTCTGCACCGTGGAACAGGATGAGATATATTCGCATTTCTTCTTCCAAAAGGTGCACAAGGAGAGCTTTGTGCTCAATAGCCTGAAGGAAGAAGATGACTCGGTAACGTCATCTTATTTTGACATTCTGACGATCAGCAAATCTTTTTATGCCAGACTGTGACACGAAGCCCACAGACAGCACGGCGTCCCAGTCATTCCTATCCTCTATTACGGAGGTCTGAGATGACAGCATAGGGGAGAGGCTGGACAAATTGTTATCTCTGGATGAGCTGACCAAGGCCTGCAAGCCCTTTGAAAAAAATAAAAGTCCCGGAAGCAATGGCCTATCAGTCAAGTTGTATTCAGCTTTAAGAATTGATCTGCCAAGACCTGCTGGAGATGTATGACAGTATGCTTCTATTAGGTAGCGTGTATGAACCCATGAGGAAAGATATCATCACCCTCATCTACAAGCAGAAGGGGGAGAGGAAGGAAATTCGAAATTAGTGACGAATTCCACTGTTTGATGTGGATTATGAAATCCTGTCTAAGGTCATCGCCAATCGGTTCAGGTCTGCCCTGGGATCAGTGATTCGCCCCGACCAAACCTGTGCTGTACCGGGCAGGGCGATCTCTGAGAGCCTCGTGCTCCTCAGGGATATGATCGCCTATGTGCAGGAGTGGGGGTGGACACCTGCCTTATCAGCCAAGACCAGGAGAAGGCCTTTAACAGGATATCGCACACCTACATGTGGGATGTACTGTCCAAAATGGACTTTGGGGAGAGAATCTGCAATTGGATCCAACTGCTCTACACCAACATCGTTAGTACAGTCTCAATCAATGGGTGGGAATCAGAAAGCTCCCCGATCAGGTCTGGAGTCGGGCAGGGCTGCCCACTCTCTCCTGCCTTGTTTATAAGTTTTGTAGAGCTTTTTGCTGAGTCCATCAGGAAGGATGTGAGCCTGAGAGGGGTGACTATTCCAGGCAGCAGAGGCTTCAGTCAAAGCCTCTCTGTGCATGGACGATGTCGCCGTTTTCTGCTCAGATCCACAATCTGTGTGCAGACTCATAAGCATCTGCAACCCATTGAAACTTGCCTCGGGAGCCAAGGTAAAGTGAGGCAGAAGTGAGGCCATGTTCTTTGGGAACTGGGCTGACCAATCCTTTATCCCCTTCATCATCAGGACGATTACCTGAAGGTGCTGGGAATATAGTTCAGAGGGGCAAGGACATGTGCAAAATCTTGGGAGGAGCGTATCGTCAAGGTGATGCAGAAACTGGGCTTTTAGGAGCACCGCTCCCTCTATTGCAGGTATAAACCTGATCATCACGTCTGAGCATTCTCTCTGTCGTTGTACATGGCGCAGGTCTGGCCCATTTCCTCAACCTGCGCCGTTGCAGTCACTCGAGTCATCTTCCACTTCATTTGGAGGTCTAAGATGGTCTGTGTCCACAGGTACATCATGTACAAAACTCTGGATAAGTGAGTGAAGAAAGTACCCAATGCTGCCCTCATCCTGATGGCCACCTTTGTGTTGGTGATGTCAAACTGTGTGTAGACCTTCGGTATGCAAACACCAAGTGTCACTATGTGCTGAGGTTCTACCTGTCCCTGGTGTTATGAAGGATCTGGCCTCATTGCTGCGGAACGCTCCAAGTAGTTGGACTGTCCCATATCACCTGTCCTTTGTGGAGAAATTTGCAAAGACAAACACCTTTGACTATAAGTCCATCAGGAAGTGGTCAGCACATAGTGCCCTCGAGACCCTGCAGGAAAAGGAGAGGGTGGATTCTGTCGGGTTGTTCCCTCAGCAGTCTGTCAAAGCCATTCGGTAGAATACTTCATCACCAGAACTTTCCAACAAGCACCGAGACATCGCTTGGCTGGTGGTGAGAAGGGCACTACCTATGAGATCCTTCAGGTATACCCAGACTCTCTGTCACACAGTCCCCTCGAAGAGGCTGTGGGGGTAGGGTAGAGACTGTCATACATCTCCGGCTAGAATGTTTCTTTGCAAAGGAAGCCTGGAAAAAGATGCAGTGGTTTTTGTCAAAGTTTGGCCCGAGCAGCTCCATGATGCAGTACTCTGTGCTCTACAGTCTGTTGCATGGGACACACACGGAGACAAACATTGACTGCACCTGGAGGACCATCAGCTCGGTGAAAGATCCTCTTTGGTCTGCCCAAAACTTCTTGGTGTTTCAGGGCAAGGTGTCGACCTCAACCGTGTGTTTTCGACCAGCACATTCCAAGCTCCATGATGAGGGACCAGTGAAGCTTAGGGCAGCTACTGCCAAAGTGCAGTGGGGAAAGTCTAAAGTCTTTCTGCCGAAGTTAATTGGAGTCCGTTCAGTTATTGGACCCTCCTGGTGCATCAAATGTATGTAAATGTAGTCTTGTACAAGTAAAAAATGCCTTTGGTTTGTTTTCTGGATATGCTTCATATGCTACTATACAGAACTGAACTGCTCTGGTGACTATGTATGTATATCAAGATATTTTATGAATAAAGTATATTTTTGAAATAAAAAACAATTATGTGACATCTTGGACTCACTAATAATATAGATGACTATTTCAGTACCGCACTTTGCACCTCACCAATACGTTACGTTCCAATACAGCTTCCCCACCGCTTTCCCTGTGGGATGAGCTCCCATGTCATGCATCGGAACAAGGTGCATGTCCAGACTCTTAACTTGTTCTCTCAGCACTCACTTACTTTATGCTGACTTGGATGTTCACAGCATCTCTGTCTTACTTTGCCTTTTTGTACATTCCCGCTTATTTCAAAACTTACAGGCTCAGTTCTGTTTTGCCATTCCCTTTAGTGCTGACACAAAACCATGCAGTCTGACATGTTTGTCAATAATGAGTAGTCAAGGGGTGGACATGCTGCTGTTCGCTGTACTATGTCAATGTCACTCCTACGCCATGCACCAGGAGCTTCAAGAGCAAATATGCTGAAAGTGCTTCAACCATATGACCATATCTCAGAGTCTAAGGAGACGAGTCCTCCTCAAGTCAAGAGGCGCTCTCATTCGTCAGGGGCTACTGCCACAGTCATTCAAAGGCATCAGCCAGTCTCACTCCCATGTTTTGAACACAGTCAGTCAGCTGCTTGGGGAATTCTTGGTCAGGAATTCCATATTATTACAGACCAGAGGGTGAGCCGCTGTCAGTCCTACAAATCCCCAGTATAACCAATCTGGGCATTAGCACTAGGTCTGTTGGAGAGCTGCACAGAGTTCAGTTTCTCCCACTCTGTTTCTTGATCTTTGTATTTCTCATCTGCTTCTCACAATCTGCTTCACAGTCTGTGGTCTGGTCACTTTGGCCCCTACCCCTACCTACTTGGCATCCTATCCACCTGGCAGCCTCCCCTAGCACACGACTGAATGGCCTACTCCTGTTCCTTTGTACTTACCCAGCTGGCACCCCACTTTCCTGCCATCCTAGCCCCTTACCTATCTCACACCCTGGCCTCCTGACACCTTAATCTCACTCTCACCTTATGTACATAGCTTTTGACAACTGTTCTGGATCTTTGCATTTCAGAATACAGCAGCTAACTGCTTGAAAAGGGAGTGTGGTTTGCTTTTCCCAACAGTTCAGAGCTTTGAGAGAACTGTCAGAACAGAAGTATAGCTCCGCATTTCTGAAGAAACCCTGATTGGAATCTCCTGTCAGAAATGTAGAGTTCTATCCCTTTGTAAGAAAGAAGGGGCAGAGAGAAAATCTGCATGAAATTGCCACTCCTCAGAAAATCGGGCCCATGTGTTTTTAGTATTTTGCATGAGATGATGGAGTGACAAGGTTTTGCTTACATCATCCCGAAATTACATTAAATTAATTTTGTACAAAGCACTCCATCTCAAAATTTACAAGTGTATTGTTTATCTAGAGTCCATCAGTTATCGTAGCTAAAATTTTCTTTAAATTTTACGCAACATTTAATTTTAAATAAACACAAACAGCTTCATTTTTCAGATGCAAAATTAGTTATTTTAATACCTTAGAAGGGGTGAGAAGAATTTTTAAAAACATGCAACATGCAAAAAGGGCCATACGAGATAGCAAATGCTGTTCATTTTAAATTGTTTTTCAATCTCTTGTGGAACCTGGGCGTCGCTGACAGGCCAGCATTTATTGCCTGTCCCTAGTTGCTCTTGAAAATTTTAATTGTTTAATTTTAGCCAGAGTATAATTCTGTAGCATTATATCCATTTTCAGTATTGTTGATAAATAGGAAGAATACGAGCTATAACATCACAACAGGGAAATGCAGAAAGAAGCCAAGTATTAAAGATAGAGCAATAAATACTAATATCATTCACAGACTAGAAAGTTGACTTGTTTCTTAGTTTAAAAGCAATTCTTTATTGGTTCAGGGATGAGTGGAATTTTCCAGCACTATTCAAAATTTGATAGATTTCAATTGCAAGGAAGATTAAGTTTTTAGTCAGTGTACCATGGCACCTTGGCACAGCAAAAATATTTTAAATCTCTTGCTCCATGATTTTTCTTTCAAGGACAGAATTGCTATGGGTCTGTTAATTTAGAAATTGTGCAACTTGATGTGGATGATCAATTTTTAGTGAATTTCAGTCCACAGCAAGGTCAATACTTTGAAGAAAAGCAACAACTTTCTCGATTGGTCAATAATCTCAGAAAAGATCTGAAATCAGAAATCTGTGTAGAGTGATAAGAGCCCATGTTAACAATATTTTGTAAATTTCACATTTTTCTCTTCCTTCTAGGTTTTATTGATTTTCTTGTCAGCCAGCACTCAGTCGCCAAGGCTCTCCGGGATGTTCTGGTCTTTAAAATAGTACCAATGCTTAATCCTGATGGAGTATTTTTGGGTAACTATAGGTGAGTAAAATCATTAAATTTTGTATTTTAAAGATAGCACTTCTCATTTTAACATATTATTGACATGTTGCTGTGTTTGAAATTGACAAAACTGTACATTTTATGAGATGTTCAAACTCGGCAAGTTTAATATTATTGCAAACCTGAAACTATTCCTCCACTAGCCCTCTTTTTGGAGTATAAACCAGGTACCAAGGTTCAATCTGAATCCAAAGGAGAGAGATACTATATCCCTTGGGCAGTCTCGTTTAGCTTGTTTCACGTGTCACATTGAGCTCGAATGCAATGCTTCCATTTACTTTGTGACTCTAAGGTTAGTGCAAAGGTAAACAGTTTTACGGTGGCACTACAGTTATATTGTGAATGAACTCACAAATATATTGCTTTCACTTTTAACTTTTGGATACTTACTTTTCAAATGACAGGCAGAATTTAATGGCTCACTCCAGGAGTAGGTTGCTATATAGGATCAGTAAAAGATAGGGTTGTAAGCTCATTATTTTCCCAACTTCCCACAGTGAAGCCTGGGCCAGTAAAGTTGAGGTCAGCCTTCTGATGCCGAAGTCAACTCAGGTGCCTATTAATGGCCACAGCGACCACTGTGGTTTTTCTACCAATGACAGACGGATATGGGGCTGGCCATCAGGTAAACCTTTAAAAAGCCTTGTTTCCTTGTATTTGGTTCTGGGAGTTGAGGGTTAAATAGATTCAGACTTGCCAGGCCTAGAGGCAGGCCTGAAGAACCACTGCCATTTACTGAAGCATGAGCCTTGTTTATGATGATGAATGGAAGGTACTGAAGCCTTCACACCTCACAACTCCTTAACCCTCCATATGCCACTCCAGGCCTTCATGTCCCAATGCACTGTAATGATCTAATCCTCCATGTCACCTTCTAATGCATTTACTCATTGCTTGTTGTGAGTGTACCATTGCCTATTCTAATGTTCTCCCTCAGTGTTGTCTACGTGATTGCAACAGGTGGATGATACCTTCTGACTTTCAATTAAGGAGACTGGAAGTGGCCCTGGGCCTGGTCAACATCAACCTGACATGAAGTGACAGAAAACAGCAAGTGTCTTGACACAGGAGCAGTGGTGAAAGCACGAATGATGTTATGCTCAGAAAGAACAACAGCTACATCCTCGAATATCATCAACCTTGGAGCAGATATTCCAGGACTACCAGCAGTGTAGGCATCACCCTTGAGTACTGAGATCATTGACTGTGATGGCAAAAGTTGCAACTTACATGGCAGAAACACTGGACCTCATAACCTTCCAATAAGGCATTGGGTACATCTTCTTACATTGTAGTGGACGCTGACACAGCATCTATCAGATGTTGCATCACTGCTTGAACCACTAGTGTTGTCATAGAGATGGCATCACTTCTGCACTGGAAAGGATGAGCTGTAAGCTCAGCTCATGCACTTACCATGTTGGAGCATTCTGTTTTTACATTTACACTTGTATACAAATGCAAAGCATTACTGATTATTGTATCCCAAAGGGATATATATATATCGGCTTTCAATTTCCTGATGTGTATGACTAGTGTACAAGTCTTCCTTTTATAAAAGCATCCCAAAAGTCCCAAGCTAATTGTGAGCTGTTAGGTTTGATGACTAATGTGTCTTTTAGAAAGCCAGAATATGTCCTGGTCTCTGAAAGATGGCCAAGATAAATGTGGTCACATTTTGGCGAATTTTATAGCGTTGTGTTTTAATGAATCTCAGAAGTATTTCATTGCTTCTGAGATTGAACATAAAGGTGGACAAAGCACAGCACTCTTCCAACTAGTCACCTACTTACCAAATGAACAGTAATGTCAGAATTTTATTACCACACTATAATGGTGCAACATTAAGGCATCTAATTCAGGGCAAGTGACATGCACCAAGCATACAAAAGATATGAAATGTGAATTACAAACTCACATTACCAGTTGCTGGATAGGACCTTAATGATTTCATAGTCCCTGCTGCAGCCAACAGATAAATTTGATCAACCATATTGTGAATAAAAATAATATGCTTAATTAGAGATTAATTTTGCTTCAGCTATAATTGATAATGTTCTCAAGCTGTGTTTAATTTTACAAACTAAATGTTGAAATTCCAGCAGAAACATGTTATTGAACTGAATTCTTTACATTCTATCTATCTAATGTGATCTATGGGCTGCATAGCTCCAAATCTACTCTTATACTCTCGAATGTATCCTAATTATTTTTCTGGAGATCACTATTGTAAATTCTGTAGTGGAAAATCAGTGTCCTCTAGTTAGGATCTGCAATGCGCTGCCTGAGAGAGTGGTGGAAGCAGGATCAGTTGGGCATTTTTAAAAAGGAATTAGATCATTTTCCAAGAAAGGAAAACATTTGCAAGGACTACAGCGAAAGACATGGAATGGCACTAAGTGAAGTTGTTCCATCAGAGGACCAGCAACAAGCAAGTTGACCAAGTAGCTTCCTATGAACCTGTAGCGTTTACTGTCATTCCAGCAATTTCTGAGCCGTTCATCCAGAACATTTATTTCAAAATGCCCCTTTCATTTCCATAATTAATATATTTGATTATAAATTACAAGGAAAAAATCTTAAAACTTTTAATGTGATTTACTGTAATCTAATGTGATTTATTCCATAAAAATCTTATTGCCTTACAGGTTTCAAAACTAATATGATTTTCTGTGCAAACAAGTAGTTTGAAATAACTGGATATTCTGCACATTACAATGCAAAATGGATTTTTAAAAAAAAACAGTAGCAGACAGTATGTAAGATTTATGATGAGATATATGTCAAAATTCACAAGAAAACCCATTTCAAATATTTTACATTCATAAAGTGCAAATTAGCTCACGTTCTGGCCCTAAGAGCAAAAAAGGGCTCTTGTAGGCAAACTATCTTTTCCACAAACATAAAGATGAAATAACTATGAAATATGTGCAATTTGATCAATTGATATTTTGTCTTTACCCAAGATTCGAAAGCGCCAAGCATTTTGCAAAACCGTTACAACAGACATTGGAGAGTACACTGTCACTTTCTCGTCCAACCAATCCATTGGTCACAAAATGAATTTAAATGTTTTACCCAGTTACCATTATGACCAATTATACTTTATTTATATTCAATTTAGAGTTTTTAAAAAATGTTTTTTAATAATTTGCAATTTGTGATTTATTATGAAAACAAACATTATTTGTCAAAAATGTAACGATGATCATTGCACTGTAGGACATATAAAGGCATAAATATCCATCCTTCTAAATTGCACACACATTTGAAAATAAAACATTTAGCCCAAAATTATTTGTTCATGATGGAGAAAAGGTTAAGGTCTGAAATGTTCAAGATAATTTTCATTTGGTGTTTGGTGTCCTTGCTGACATAGCTGGGTGTCATTTGTTATGAAATAGATTCATATTCAATAATATTTTGGATTGTGAAAAATTGATCTGTTTCATGTTCTGTGTGGATGTGGGCTGGTTTGAAAATGTCACTGTAAAGCCTTTAGATGTTTAAACCATGTTTTAAATAAGGCTTCTTGGAAATCATGTGACTTATGATAATTACTTATTTTGTTGAAGATCATTCTGAGGCATCTTCATCACTGCTTTGGGCTTTGAAAGTAGTGAAAAGCTTTGTATCTAGTGAAAAGAAGGCAGTTGAAGAGGAAGAACTTCCCAGTTTAGTTTCACTGTTTCCGAAATAGAGATCAAGATGAAACCTGATTACTGTGAGATCAAAATGAAACCTGACTGTTATCCTGGAAAAGTGACTGACAGAACTTCTCAATATCGTATTTCCTGAGAAAGCTGCATCTGCCAAGACGCCAGAGACAACTGTACAGGATTAGTTTCTTAGCCACACAGAACGACAGATTTCAGAATATTCTACGCCTTTTCCTATTTTGCAATCAAGAATAACCACCATTGGATATTTTGTTTTGCAGCCCATGGAATAATGATACTACAATGGCAGTGCACTCCTCCAAGCTTTCATAACACACTAAACACAGGCAATTGTTACTAGGGCCTTTGTAGCTGCAATTCATTTGGCACTCATTGCGAATTCAGAGACTTTTTAGAAGAACAGCTGTATCAGTGTTTCTGCTATCACACTGGATTATTCAAAAGGGTTTTCTCAGAAAAGCACAGGATGAACTAGGTAGGTTAATTCTCCCTTAGCAGGCTCTACCCCAACTGAACTCCAAATAAAATCCAAACAAACCTTAATGACTGACAGCCATAAACCCAAGAATGTGATTTTGAATAATTAAGACGAAGCAGTTAACTTGAACTATGAATTACATTCCAAAGTCTTTTTAGTGATCCCCTTTAAAAAATCAGCTGTCTCTTCAATCTTTTCAAATGAACAATTCACTAAAATTCTTCAAACATGAATCCTCAAGTAAACATTAATAATTGAGTGTCTTTATAAACTATGCAACAAGTTCCTGTTCAGACAAAATAGTATGTCTTAATGGAGATTGACAAAGGGAAGTGAATGTACCCTTTTCAAGACAAGATACTGACCCAACTCAATTGCACATTTCAATAAGGTGTGGAAGCTGCTGATTGACATTGTAATCAGTAAGTTTTCTCAAATGGTATTACATTATTTAAGATGAGCATATTAAAATTTAAAAGAAGCAAACTGTCACATGACAGGAGCAGAGTATTCATACGAAAAACATCCTTCTACTACCACTGCATTGACTGATGACATTGCTAGAAATTTTTTTACGCCATTCAAGTTGGGGACTGGGGATGGTTAACAGGCAAATAGCCAAGCAGTTAAAGTTAGGTCTAATTGTTCATAAGTTCAATGCAAAATGAAGATTCTACCTCATAAATGTGTGCTCCCTTATCAAGCATCTTACATAACAAGTTTTTAATATATAAGTGAAGTAATATTTCCTTAGATTGCTGTTTTATGGGTATGGCATATAGCTGAGCACTCAGACACATTTCTCGAGAGCAAGCACAGTG